GCAGGCAAGTGGGACTAGGCTAGTTTGGGAATCTTGGTTGGCATAGATTGGTTGGACCAATGGGTCTGTTTCCATGGTTTATGACTCTGTGACAGGATACTGGGAATGAGATTTCAAATATAAAGAGACTTTGAAGAATCTGGAATTGTTTAACTTAGAGCAGAGAAGGTTAAGAACAGATTTGACGAAATCATGAAGGGTTTTCATAGAGTAAATACAGATAAACTGTTTCCAGAGAAGGTCAGTAACCAGTAGTGAGAGAGACAAGGTGCAAAGGCTAGTGGCTTGAATAGAGCCATAATTTTTGTTGTATAACTATATTCTCTTCATAGCTCTCCTATTGAAATATTTTCTTAAAATAAATGGTCAACAGTGACAGATGGTTTATGATGGCTGCTACAATCACTTAGAATTAGCCGGAATCCTCCAGAACTTTCTGCAAATTAAAGCCAGCTAGGCCATTTAATACCTCATTTAATTGCTGGAGACTTGGCCAGCTATTGTGACTAGAAGCTGCTGAGAGATGTGCCTTCTTGCCTGAAGATCAAGGCACAAAGGAATAGTAAACTTCTACTGACCAATAGCAAGATTGTAACAGTGTTCTAATTAGCCACTGAGATAGTGGCATTATGAGATAAGGCCTATGATGAGGGCAATAAAAGGACTTCATTTCTCTGAGTGTCTCAGTAGAAACCAGCCCATCACACGACTGGAACCTGCACTTGTTGAATTGCTTCAGCATTCAGGTTTGACTTTTGCCTTCAGTTGTTGTGTTGACATCACATGACAAGCACATTGGCAGACAAAAGTCCTTCTGTCCATCTCCCTTTCTCTAAAAAGTCTCATCTCCAGAAAGAATCTCTGACTTCATGAGCCAAATGGAGCTAATTCTCTAAGGACAAGGGAATTGTACTATCTGCATCCCGTACCCAGGAAAAGAATCGATACAAGATCAGCTAACTTACAGATTCCAAACTAGATTGTGACTCACCAAACTCTAAATCACATAAACAAATACCAACATCTTGATTTTTCAAAAAAAATTGTAATGTCCTTCTTCCCTCTCTCATGCTTTCTATCTTACATGCTTTTATGCGTGAATAAAGTAGTGAAGCAATGCCCCTGCATTGATAAATCCTACCACTGATTTCATCTTAAAGGAGTTTGTTGTGAGTTTACTTCTAAGGTTGAAGCTCACAAAAAGCCAGGGCTCAGGAAACACGGTTGGCCTTTTTCAATAAGGGAAGGAATAAATAGGAGGCAAATATAAAACAACATATTACTGTCTCAGGCTTAAGAGGGGAAACACAAACATGATTTAATTCAGAGATAACAAGGTGTAGAGCTGGATGAACACAGCAGGCCAAGCAGCATCAGAGGAGCAGGAAGGCTCCTACCCATGATTTAATTCATCCTTGTCCCTGCTTTGTTCAAGGTAGTTGGTAAATGAACCAGAGGTGACATAAGGGGTAAGAAGGGTTGTTAATATAATCTTCAACGACTATCTGAAAGAGAAATAAAACAGATTCAATAATAACTTTCATAAGGCAGTTGGATAAATACCTGATAATCATAAAGCTGGACTGGAAAATGGCTGTTTAAGGGGGGATGGAGGCAGAGACATGAAAATATAGGCCGGTTAGCCTGACCTCAGTCATTGTTCAGATTTTAGAGTCCATCATTAAGGATGAGATTGTGGAGTACATGGAGGTGAGTGCGAAAATAGGGCTGAGTCAGCACAGCTTCCTCAAAGGGATGCCATGACAAAGGCAGTAATCCAGAGATTAAGAGATAGTAGGGACTGCAGATGCTGGACAATCTGAGATAACAAGGTGTAGAGCTGGATGAACACA